GGTGCCCGCCTCTTGCGGTCCCGGGCAAGCTCCCGGGAACCACCAGCCTGGTCCCGGGAAGAGGGGGAGGGCTGGGGGGCATCGGGGGGGTGGCTCGATCCGTGCCAGGTGCAGGGTCTGCTGGCTGGGTGCTGGCAGGCTTGCACCTGGCATGGGCACCGTAGCCAGCCCGTGTCCCTTTAAGGGGTCCGGGGCCGGGAGGGGGGCAGATGAGTTTCCCTGGTGTTGGCCGGAGTGGCCACCAGGGAAACCTGGGGAAGGCTAGCCTCCCACTAGTTGGAATTAAGGGTCTACACAGCCCTTAATTCGATCTAGTAAATTCAAACTAGGCTTAATCTTCGTGGAATGAGGATTACCTAATTCGAACTAAGCGCTCCGTTAGTTCGAATTAAATTCGAACTAATGGAGCGCTAGTGTAGCGCCTATGAAAGTTAGTTCGAACTAACGTCCGTTAGTTTGAACTAACTTTGTAGTGTAGACATACCCTCTCTTTCTCTCTCTCTCTCTGTGAAGCTCTGAGACGCTGCACCTTCCAGGAGGCCCAAAACCAGCCTGTGACCACATATCAAAATTCCTGAAGTGACCCCCCTCCCCCCACGGTGAAAATTCATGTCCGCCTTTGGGTTAGGTGATTGGTCTTTTCTGGTCTTACAATCTGCAAAGTACACGTGGCACTGAGCAGCCTCTGATGATTCCATGTGCAGCTGCTTGATTCCTAGAACTAACATTGAGTGAGTAGGGGTAATGCAGGGGGGAGAGGCTCAAATATGCAGAGGGGCTGGCCAGGGGCAGGACAGGGTATGGCAGTGACATCACAAGGCCTTTTTCGGCATCTCCGCTGATTGGTTAAAGATTGAGAGGTGGTGAACTCATAGAAAGTCCATGACAACGGCCAGGTTGGACAGGATGCGGGACTGGGGCAATTTCAGACTCCCGTAGCTTTGCAACCGGGAGTCATCTCGAGGTCTGCTCTTACCTTGAGCGCTCTCAGGCCTCGAACATGAACACAAAGAAGAATCTTATTGGACTTTCCTTCAAATCCAATTCTGAAAAAAGAGACACATTTCTGCGGAGAAGGTAAGAGCCTGTGATAGATTTGGTGCTGATGCTACCTGACCTATCTGGTGCTGGCCAAATGCAAGTTGTGGGAAACACTAAAATTGGAACTATTATTTTCCCACCTAGGCTTTTTTTCCTTACCACTAGGGACAGTGGAATTTGTGTGTTTTGTTTCCCCTTTCCCATAGCTTCCTCCCTGCCAGAGTCTCACTGTTGAGTGGGTGAGATAGTGATAGGGAGAAGACTCAGGACTTTGTTCTCTTTGGGACCCAGCAAAGGAGCCAGAATCTATCATCTGCTTGGGGAATTGTTCTGCTTCTCTACATTGGTTGGGTCTGAGCAGTTCCTGATTCTGTCCTACGGCTAAGGAAGTTGAGGATGTGTGTGTGTGTCACTGCCAGGAGTGTATAATAGGAGGTGCCCTATTATGTGGAGTCCTTACAGATGATGTGATGCAGTAGATCCCCATTTTTCCAACCTTCCATTATGCAGCTTTCCATGTTGACCTAATAACCAGCGCATGCAGGGCCAGCAGCAGGCAATCCTCCCATGGCCACTAGATGGCGCTGCGGCCTCACACTTCCCTACTCCCCTGAATATCTGAATTTTTGATCATCTGGTTTGGTCCTGGTCCCAATTTGACATGACAAGTGGGGCTCTGCTGTGTAATAGCTAGGGGTTGCCACATGGTTTCAACAAAATTTCCTGACACACTTGACATTACATCACAATCTACATTACATCTCATGTAGAAAATACCAGACATTTTATATTTTCTCATCTATATCTTCTCAATTTGTTTCCCAAACAGCTCAAATACTGGACTGTCTGGTTCAAAACCGGACACCTAGCAACCCTAGTAATAGCTGGAGCAGGCATTTTTATTGGTATTTTATTAAGAAGAGCATCTCCTTAGCCCAGGAGCAGGCAAAATATGGCCCAGCAATCCTTTCAATCTGGCCCAGGGCCATCTGCTAGGATTCTCAGGCAGGAAGCAGCACAAGGGCTCAGAGCAGCTGATCCATCTGCATTTCTCTGCAGAGGGGAGGGAGAATCTTTGCCTGCCACGCAATTCTATTGGCATTTTATTACGTATAAATCTATTAAGAGGAGCAACTCCTTAGCCCAGAGGCAGGCAAAATATGGCCCAGCAATCCTTTCAATCTGGCCCAGGGCCATCTGCTGGGATTCTCAGGCAGGGAGCAGCACAAAGGGCTCAGAGCAGCTGATCCATCTGCATTTCTGCACAGAGGGGAGGGAGAATCTTTGCATGCTGCCCAGCCCCCAGGACAATCATTCAGCACCTGATGGCTGGTTCCCATTGGCTGCCCTTGTCCTAAGCATGATCTCACAGCTCACATTTGCTGAAACCAGCCAATGGGAGCTGAGAGATTGTGCTGGGGGCCTGGGCGATGCATGTAGATTCTCCTTCCCCTCCCCCCACACTGTGCACCACAGAAAGGCACATGGAGCAGCCACGCTGAGCTCTGGGGTTGTGCTAGACAGGGAACTTGGCACAGGGTTCCATTAGGCAGCTGGCCTGGAACCACCTAGGTAAGTGCATCCTGGCCAAAGCCTACTCTGGCACCCCAACTCCTTGCCTTAGGTCACAATCCCTCCTGTTCCAAGTCACTACCTCTATACCCCTCCCTCTCCTGTTCCTTGGTCACAACTTCCCCCTCCTAGACCTCTTCTCCAGGCCAGAATCCTCTCCTGCACCCCAATTCTCTTCCTGCACACCCCATACTCTGTCCTGCACACCAGAACCCTACCCTGAGCTCCCTTTGCATCCAATTTCTGTTCCAGACCCCACATCCCCGCCAAGGAAAAGTGTGGCCCTTGGCCACTTGGAATGGCCTCCACATCAAAAATTAATGCCCATCCCTGCTTTAAAGCATCTTTAATTGTATTGGTATTTTGAAAAAATGTGCCTGAGAGGTTAATGTACATGAAGTGGCTATATGGAATATGCTCAATATACTTTACTTAGCTTATTTGAAAGTATTATTAGGGACAAGCTATGGTTGAAATATTTTTTCCAACTTCAGCTATTAAGGCATAACAAGACTGAGGATCCTGAAGCTAGAGTAGACAGCCTAGGTCCTAGTTTTTAGGTGGCTGAAAGTTCTTTGTTTCCCTCTTCCCAAAAGCAGTAGCTCTGTCTCCTCCAGATTTAGCTTAAACAAGCATGTCTTCATGTGCATGTTGACTCAGATCTCCTGGAGATGGTTTGCATTTTCTCTTAAGAAAACAGCATGGTGGCTACTATTTTTACACTGTCATCTGATCACCCTTTGCAAAATCTTTCTGTGGAGTATTGGCCTGTATTCAACCACTGGCTGTTGTGGATTGTCGTATGATAACAGTAATGCAGCTACTTTTGTGGCCTACTCGAATAACTTTATTTCTAACTACTTTTCTTTCTGCCCTGTGGGAGATCTTATCCATGCTCACTGCAAATGTTAACATGGGTCTCTGCTGCAGACTAATGTAGTCTTTCATACTAACCAGTTTTAAATCTCACCTTGACTGCTGTCTTCTCCTAGCTGTTCACCCACTTTTCCTCACTACCCTTAGCACTGGCAACATCCTGTAGAACAGAACCGTAGTCAGTCGCTCATGGTTGGAAACTGTTTTATGTAAATTTCTAAACCTGTCCCATGGTCAAGCAGCGTAAGAAAAAGGATTGACTGGTTTCGCTTCTTAGCCATCCGCTCAGTTGGCTGGATTTGCCTCTTGGAATTATTGTGGGAAAGCTAGCTTAATGAATAATATTTTGCTGTGAAAGTAGTGATGTGAGTTATCCCTTCTTTGGGTAAAGAATCTACTTCTCCAAAATCTCATTTTGATTGTTGCATTGAGCCTTTTTGATATCACAGCTACACAGCACGTGGCAGCTCCCTCTAACGTTTAATTGGTAGAGGCTAAGACTGAGGAACAAAAGAAGCAGATCTTGAGAGAGTCTTTAAAAGAGGCTGTTGGTTATGGGTAGAAGGAGGTGTGAATGAGGTGCTGAAAAAGTAACACAATTTCCAGTTCCATTGACCTTGGAAGAAATATCTGATCTCTTCATTGGTCTCTCTTACATGTAGCTGCTTTCAATGTAGTAGGTTCCAAATGTCTTGAACTAGTTCACAAAGTGTTATCAAAGAGGGTGAACTGAAGATAATTGCTAAGTTTTATAAACAGCTCCTGCAAGAGTGAGGAGTGCTTCCAGGAGATGGCAAAAGAGAAAGGTGACTGAATAGTTGAGGGAACCATTTCTCTTTTAAAAAACTGAACAATAAAATCAGTGTTCTTTTCATGTCTACTCTGGGGCGTTATTTCAAAATAACAAGGCGAGCATCCACACTACCAAGCCTGTTATGAAATAAGCTTATTTCAAAATACCCCCATTATTTCAAAATAGTAAAGAGTTATTCTTCTTCACAAACAGGAGATATTTTGAAATAACTTATTTCTAAATAACCTGGTAGTGTAGACATAGCCACATGGACTAATCACAATCAAAAGATGTCGAGTGTAAATGACTGTTTTAAAATGTAAAAAGCAGTTCCCCTCTGCACCAAGGAGTGCAGCGACTGTTTTAAAATGTAAAAACCAGTTCCCCTCTGCACCAAGGAGTGCAGTAGAAGAGCAGTAGTATGTGCCCTAGGGTGTGAAAATACTGGTCGGTGCCAGAGTATTAGCAGCTAAACTATGAGTCCCTCTACCATTTCAGAGCTGTAAATGCTCCAGCCTTGCTCAAACTGCCTATAGTGTTTGTTTTTGTGAACGTTTCTGGGATTATCTATTGACATCTCTTGCTCTCTCAGACTTGTCTCTTTCTGGAATACTATTTTAACCCATCCCCTCTTTTTCAGCGGTGTTCAAACTCCAGCACGGGGGACATCGCAGCCCTCCAGGATGGTGGTGTTGCAGCTCTCCAGGGGGACGTCGCCGCCCTCTTGGATGGTGGCATCGCAGCCCTCGCAGGGGACGTCGCAGCCCTCCCACGTGGAAGCGTCGCAGCTCTTCCGGGGTATGTCACAGCGCTCACAAGTGACGTCGCAAGAGCCCTCCCAGGTGACGACATCGAAGCAGCGCTCCCAGAGGACATCGCAGCTCACCCGTGTGACAGTGCCTCAGCTCACCCGTGTGACATTACCGGAGGCCACCCGGGTGACAGTGCCTCAGCCCTGTCAGGGGATGGCATTGCAGCCCTTGCAGGGGACATCTAAGCTCTCCCGTGTGGTGATGCCACAGTCCTCCCGAGGGATATCACAGCTCTCCCATGTAGTGCCACTGCAGCCCTCCCGGAGGACACTGCAACCTGACCATGTGGTGGCACCACAGCCCTCCCGGGGGATGTCTCAGCCTGCCCGTGTGGTGGCGACAATGCCCTCCCGGGGGAAGTCGCAGCCCTCCCGGGTGAGTGCTTCTCTGGCCCCACCACCCACTCCTCCTGCCCCCACACGCACTGCTCCAGCTCACCGCTGGTTGCAGCAGCGCTGTTCTCCCGTACGGGAGGGCATCTCAAGCCCGGATAACGATCAGTTCCGCCAGCCCCGGGTTAAGCTGGCTGCTGAGCTGACAGGTGGAGCAGAGGGGACACGCGGCACCGCCATGCCCCTACCACCTATCCGGCCTCCCGCTGCTGCGGCCCCTGACCCCACCACCATCCATGAGCAGCCTAAAAAGCAGGTGGTGCCTACGAAGTCAGCACCGCCACCCAGAGAGAGGAAAGTGAATTGGGCGCCCCAGGTAGGGACTGGCCCCTTGCCCAACTCCCGCCTCTGCACCTCCCAGCAGCAACAGCTACAGCCGCAGCCACCGCAGCAGCCACGGAAGTCGAGCCCAACTTGCAACCGTGGTCGCTCCATTAGGAACCCAGGCAAGGCGGCGAGGCCGGAGCCGGAGGCTGCAGTCCCCAAGACAAAATACAAAATTAAACTGTCAGCTGACGCGACCTGGCTGCTGCTGCGTCGCCACCGGAAGGAGTGGGGGTGGATGAATCACTTCATCAACTCCGGGCTCTTGCAGGGCTCCCAGAGCGTGGCCGGCATGGACCTCACAACCTATATTAAGATTTCGCTCCTGAACAACCAGAACCGCTATGACAACGAGGAGTATGACGAGGATCCGGCGCCGGGGGTCGTGGACCAGGAGCTGGTGTGCAGGTGCATGGAGTGGCTCCGTGGGGCAGAGAAAGCAAAGCAAGAGGACAGGATGGGAACCCTGCCCCACCTGTATGACCACTGAGCTTGAGGGGCAGAGAACCATCTTGCTGCCGCTCCCCACTGCAAGAGCCGTGGCTGCCCATGTGCTGTGCCTGGTATCAGAGTTCCTCCATCCTTACCAACACCTGGTCTTCTGAGCATCCCATCAGAGTCTCGGTGCCAGATTTAACCTGAGGGGAAACGGACTTACTCTGCCCAGACAGAGGCGAGGGACAGCTGTCCCTGCAAAATGCATGGGGACTCACAGGGGTCTGTTTTAGGGAAATGGGGGGAGGGTGGGAGGGAGAACAAATACATATTCATAGTTGCTATGGCCTGTGTATTTTCTTTCGCATGTTGGGGCATTTGGGAAGAGAAACAATTGGGGTAGACTGATCAGTGTTGCACACATGCTTCTCCAGATCCAGCTGAGATGCTGGATGTTTTTCATCTGAAAGTGGGAGCCAAGAGTTTGTAGATGATGGACACGATCGGGAGGTTAACCCCTGTGCTTGGGGGGTGTTTAAATGTGACCAAATGTGAGCAGAGAGATGTTCACAGATAGTTAATTACTGTAACACAATAGGTGCTTCATATTCTGCCATATTCATGCCAGTGTTCTTTGTAGCAAAAGCTGACTCCTGACACTTGCAGGAATTGTTTACCATTTCTGGGTCTGGTTAGGGAGGAGAAGATGAAGAAACTTGCTAAAACTATAGAGCCTTTATCAGAAACTATCACGCAAGTGTCTTTTTGTTAAATAACAAAGGGCAGTCAAACAAAAAGAAAACAAAATCCTCTATGCAATGCAGAGACTCAAGACAGTGTTCAGTTACTGAAGGAGGATAAATGTATTGATTTCCTTTTTAAAAGAAACTACTTTGTAAATAGGGGAAGGGTACATTGATTTTGTGTGTTTGAACAGAAAGAAATGTTTTTTATTTATTTGAATAAATAATTAAAGCCTGTTGTGTTGCAACAGCAGTACCTTGGGAACTGTGAACGGGACTGTTAATCTGTTGCAGGCATCTGATTTTATTCAGTTCTGTGTTTGAAAGATAAACATTGATTACAGAAAGATAAGGATGGGCTGATTCAGAGCCGCAGAATGGGCACGTTATGTTGGATAACTTTAATTTCCTTCCTAAACTAAAGTGTCTGGGGGTATGTCTACACTACCCTCCTAGTTCGAACTAGGAGGGTAGTGTAGACATACCCATATAGATCATGTGTGGGCCTGTATACTGTGATATTGAACAGTTTGTTAGGAACTCAATTTTTGCACTGATGAGCATGAAATAAATGCTTAGATTAGATTATACTATATTAGATGGATATTCCTGGCATTATTGGCCATATGCTTCCAGTGTTGGAACTTGAGTAATGTCAGGAGGACACAGGAGAGCTGTGGTTTTGAGCTTTTCTCTTTCTTCCCCACAAGCAATATTGAATTTTGTTTCCCTTTGGTTTTCAAGCCCTTTAAATGATGGCTGCTTATCTTTGTTTGTTTCTGTAAAAATCTCTTCATGAGGCATCTTTAACTCTGCGTTCAAAAACATTGGAGATGCAGCAAGAACTAAGGTAGGAGCAGTATTGCAGCAGCCCTTCTCTACTGGTCAATGATGCTAATCCCTGTTTATCTTCTCTTTATTGACAGGCCAATGCCAAACAGGAGAAAAAGGTGGGGTGACTTCTTTTTCTACTTACCTCTTGGGGTCTCTCAGCACCCTGAGTATTTCCTAGATAGCTCTTACCTGGACATACAGTTTGGGCAAGGGGTGGCTGGGAGAGGAAGGCATTGTGCATCATCAGTATATGAATGGTCTAACACAGGGCTACTCAACATGCCACTCGTGGGCCGACCCGTTTATTTGCGGCCTGTGGCGCAGTTTGGGTTTATGCTACCCACAAGTGGGAGCCAAAACAAAAAAATAGTCAATACAATGGTCTTCTCTTGATATGCGTTTTAGTAGTTACACTCCTGGGACTGTCATTGCTCAATAAAAGTGCATGTGGGTGGAAATCGGGTAAATATTGCATTTATAGAATATCAGGAGAACTGACTTAAATAGGGCTTGCTTGTTGTGTAGTCTTGCCTTAATCTTTGTATTCATGCCTGTCAGTTTGAGAGAAGCATGTGGCCCTGAGGGCTTCCAAAGTTGAGTAGCCCTGGTCTAACCCCATCACATTATGTCTTAATTAAACTCTTTCCAATATGTTAAAGGGGGTCTGTCCTGGTTAAAAAATACGACACTTTAAGGTTGCTACACACTAATCATATTGTAGTGTTAGTGAGAACCTTTTCTCTGTGTTCCATGTTGTTCAAAAGCCTAAAGTCACAGCAAAACAGTATTTAATTGAAAAAATTCCCCCATCACGAGGTTGTGAACAAATGTAAAAAAAATAATTTGGCAGGGCAGTGCTGGCATTAGGCATAAGCAAACTAAACAGATTGAGCAGCTCAAGGGGGCTCCGTATTTGCTTTCTTAGTGTTGGCAGGGGGCGTGCCCCAAAATATTACTGGTTAATAGGGCAGTACAGCCTCTGAAAGGGTAAGTCTTTAAAGAAAGTTAAGGGTGTGCAAACAGGATGATTAAATAGCCTTCTCAACTACTTGTTACCACAACAATACTATAATTCAATAATTTAAGAATTTACTTCTGAATTTTCTAAGATGCTACGGCAAACCTCTTTCACAAGAAATACATTTGATTAAATAGGTATGAACATGTTAACGTGAATTTATCAAATATGCTGTAACGGTAAAATCGAGTGTGTGACATCCTGGCTTCACTGTGGTCAGAGGGAGTTGTATCATAGATTTTAAAGGAACCAGGATTTCACCTAATATGATCCTTAAGCGGGAAACACCATGTAGTTATTGTTGTCATCTTTTAAGATCTTCAGAGGGATAGCCAAGTTAGTGTGTACCAATTTAAAAAACAACAAATAGTCTAGTAGCACTTTAAAGCCTAACAAAACATGTGGATGGTATCATGAGTTTTTGTGGGCAAAACACACTTCTTCAGATCACTGGAGTATTAAAAGTCCAGATCCACAAATAAATAAGGGAAGGGGGAGGAGGGAGGAGAGGAAAAAGGGGAAAAAAGGCAGTGAATAGATTGTTCAAGTTACTAAAGGCTTATAAGAACAATTACCACCCCCATTGTTTGGTTGGTTGATTGAGTCATTAAGATGTGAAATCTGATAAGAATTCAACTTGTCAATGAAGTTATGTTCCAACCCTTCCCTGTGTATTTGGGGCATGGAATTGGCCTGAAACAACAGAGTGACTTGAAGATCCATTAATGAGTATCCAGGCAGAGTAAAGTGTTCTCCAACAGGTTTCTGTGTGTTGCCTTTTAGGATATCTCATTTTGTGTCCATTTACTCTTGTAAATGTATTCACTGGTTTTTTTACTCCTCCCCCCCACCCGTTCCCTTATTTATTCTTGGATCTGGACTTTTAATACTCCAGGGTATGTCTACACTACAGCGCTAATTCGAACTAACTTAGTTCGAATTAGTTAATTCGAACTAAGCTAATTCGAACTAACGCATCTAGAACTAAAAACTTGTTTGAATTAGTGTTTTGCTAATTCGAACTAGCGCGTCCACATTAAGTGGACCCTGAACCGGGCTTAAGGATGGCCGGAAGCAGTGCCGGCAGGGCATCAGAGGAGGACTTAGAGCGTGGAGATGCTGTCTCAGGCTAGCCGAGGGCTGTGCTTAAAGGGACCCGACCCCCACCCCGGACAGACAGTTCTCAGGGGTGCCCCGCTTGCAAAGCAGTCCTGGCTTGGAGTGCCCTGAGTGCCCACACTGGGCACATCACAGCACTCAGCCATCAGACCGGCTGCACTTGCCGCAGGCTGCCATCTGGGGAGAGGGGGCAATTGGGGGGCTGCAGGAGAGCTTCCACCCCCAGAAGCCCGCAGAGCCAGCCCAGTCCTCCCCATCGGGGGCTCATGCCCCATTCCTCCCTCACCTCCTTCCACTTACCCTTCCCTAGCCCCTCTTCTTGATGTACAAAATAAAGATGACGTGTCTTCCAAAATGGAATCTGTCTTTACTGAACAAAACTGGGGGAGACTGGGAAAAGGAGGTGGGAGAGGGGAAGAGAGAGGGTGGGAGAGGGGAGGGCAACTAAAATAATCAGGGGTTTGGAACAGATCCCATATGAAGAGAGGCTAAAGAGACTGGGACTTCTCAGCTTAGAAAAGAGGAGACGGAGGGGGGACAGGGTAGACGTCTCTAAAAGCAGGAGTTGGGTGGAGAGGGTGCATACAGAAAAGTTCTTCATTAGTGCCCATAAAGAAGGACTAGAGGACACCAAAGGAAAGGAATGGGTAGCAGGCTTCAAACTAGTAACAGAAAGTTGTTCTTCACAAAGCAAAGAGTCAACCTGTGGAACTCCTTGCTGCAGGAGGCTGTGAAGGCTACAACTAGAACAGAGTTGAAAGGGAAGTGAGATCAAGTCATGGAGGTTGGGTCCATGGAGTCCTATTAGCCAGAGGGTAGGAGTGGTGTCCCTGCCCAAAGTTTGTGGAAGACTGGAGAGGGATGGCACGAGACAAATGGCTTGGTCACTGTCTTCGGTCCATCCCCGCCAGGGTCCCTAGGGTTGGCCGCTGTCGGCAGACAGGCTACTGGGCTAGATGGACCTTTGGTCTGACCCAAGACGGCCATTGTAAGCTCAGGGCTCAGGGTCGGGGGTCTCAGTGGAACACCTTGATTTTCATGCACGCCTGCTCCTGGGTGGCCAGGCTGGCAGCTCTCCTGCCCCAGATGGCCACTTTCCTGTGCCTAGTGCGGAGATCGTGGACGAGGACTAGCTTGTTCGAACTAGGCTTAATCCTCGTAAAATGAGGTTTTCCTAGTTCGAACTAAGCGCTCCGCTAGTT